CCGCCTCACTTCTGTGCAAATGACCCGTTAAACGAGTACTCATTAACTGTGATGGTGCTCGTGGTCCCGAGGTAGAGCGTCTGCCAATTACGTCACTAAGTTACGAAGTCAGTAATCCGGCGAAGCGCGTTTGAGCCCAACCAGTGGTAACTAATATGAAAAAGTCCGCCCAGTAAAGTGCAGTACTCCCCAGTTCTAATTTGTTTTTGCTTTGCATTGTATTGTATTATATGCAGGGACAAAGATTACCGTGTGTATTTGTCTCGTATACAAAGCTGGAAATAGCTATCAGCTGTGCACACGTCCCCGCGATTTACCGATGATTTACGAGATGAATTCTGATGCAGTGATCGGAAAAATATAGTATCTGAAACTGTTATTTCATCAAGAGAAATATATTCTAGCATTGTGTAATTATAATTGCAGGTTTTGCTCTATCAACATAAAATATTTATAATCAAAACTAAGGTTATGTTACAGCACTTCGGTTCGCGCTGTTACCACGTTCTGAAGTATACCCTTGGTGTGCCAGGCTATTTTGAGATTGACACGAGGTTGTGGTGTTTTGACAAATCATCAAGCTAAAGAAATTACGAACGTTGTCGAGCTGCTTAATATGCAGCACCTGACTGGCTGAAAACCTACGGACTATACCGTACATTAAAATATGAAAAAAACGAAAATGGATATAGGTCAAGAAACCGCTTTGGGTATTTGTCGTGAAAAGAGAACGAATGATGAAACCGGTTTGGTTTAACAAACGGAAGAGTTTATCAACATGATTCGCGGCCTTGTTTATATATGTTACGCAGGTGTGTTACACAGGGAATCCCGCGATCGCGCGGCCTGGATGCAACACTGAATGATGCTATGGACCATGTGAATGAGTCACACAACCAGCATATGTTGTCGGGGAAACTGTTTATGGGGTGGAAAGTGTCTGCATTACAAATTTTCCTCCTAAAACATCTATCATTAACCATTTTGAATTTTTCAAATCAGGTCTGACCATACCGATTTAAATTGAATGTCTAATGTTGTATAGTGTAGTTCTACTTTACAATAGGGAGACCTTTGCTGCTACCTTGATAAGAAGTAGCATGCATTTACAGTTCCAGTAAGTGGACAGATATGAACATATGCGTAATTCAGTACATTTCAAAGGCATGTCCCACTTGCTATATCAATATTATACATGTACTAACAACTAGTCTCTGAAATGAACATATTTTACAGAATAAACAGTTCATAATAAATAAAAAATATACATAAATATTGAAAAGGATGAAATTTTCAGAAACCGTGGAAATCTAGACTGGCCACATATTCTAGACTAGCATGGGCTTTCTTGGATATATTTATTTCAGGGTCTGTATGACAGAGTACAGCAATATGACATCAATTCTAGAAGACACATGGCGAATGTACTACTTCTTTTAAAAGAGAGATCTTTGGACTGTGGATACCCTGATGATAAAAGTAAGCATACTTCCAATAAATCATGTTCCACATAGTACAACTTTGAAACAGATTTGATCATGTTTTTATACACTTTAACAAGAAAGCTATAACAACATTTTGATTATGTGAGATTTCTTAAGAATATATTGTTTATTTATAAAAACTTACTATGTCTCACATTATGAACTTTATCTTGTTTTTACAACCATGGAGTGAAAATAACCTGCAACAAACTTTTCTGAGGTGTTATAAAAGGCTGAAATCCTTGTTCCAGGTTGTTTCACTCACAGATGACAATACATCTGCAGTAGCAAATATGGAGCACAGAATCATGTAGTTCAGGCATGATAATATCCATGCCATGCAAATGAAGGCAAACAACCCTTACAAAGAGTCGCCAGTTGAGTGAGTGAGTTAAAATTCACTTTGGCAATATTTCAGCCATATTGTGACTAACAGTAAACACTTTATAAATTTATTTTAATAAAATCTGTCGCAAAAAGACTATCATGTAACATAAAATTTTACACTAAATAGGACATTACAACATAAAAAGGGGCTATAGATCGCCAGCAACTGAAGGTAGATCACCATACTAGGGCCAATGGGGACTTAAAGTGCTTTTGCTACCTGCATTCATCTTAACAGAAGGAATGGAGGTTCCCTCAATGGCTCAGGGCCATGATGTAACCCAGGACATAGGCTACCTGGACAGTTGTCAATTGATCCTGGACCAGAATGATTGTTGCCTGAATGTGCACTGTATTCACCATGAATACATATGAGAGTGACAAAGCAAGCTTCAGTGGCAGACAGGAACATCAACAAAACTATAAGCGTATGTCTAACTCTGAATTGAGGTGCACCATTTCCCTGTCCGCAGTGCTAAAGGATTTACGATCAAGTACTATCAAGTTCTGGAGCACTGGTGACATTTCTTGAGACACCATATCGTTGACGTACTTGTATTCATCACAACAGAGACTTCAACAGTTCCTCCGTTGTCACAGCAGACATTGCTAGGGGTCAGAGGCAATAAGGGTGCTAGCCCCTCAAACTTACCTCTCCCTGCTGTCTACTGCAAAACCATAACACGAACGCAAAGTAGGAAACCAGAAAGTTCATAAACCTTTTCAAAAACAAAGAATACACAAATGGAACTGACAAATTCTATCTCTGCAAACTATTTATCTTCACTCAGCAGCAACAAGAGACTGACTAGATTGGGGAAGGCACAGGGCTCATTCTAGGCATGCAGTACACATTATACTGTTATGAGGAAGCGTTCTTGTTAATTGTAATATCACATAAATAAACTTGTATTTGTTATGGGTCACAAAAGTTTAAAGTGCTGAGTGTGGATTTGAACTCACACCTTGAATTTAGGCTATGTATTTTCACCTGTTGAGAATGGGAATTTGCTTTGCTTCTGGTTTCGATCATAGGCGCTGGACTCTGATATATTTATAAGCATGATGTTTATATAAAAGATATAAGAAAGGTGTCAGGACATATGCCCGGAAGTAAACAAATCTCAGGCTACAGACCCGCACCGAATAGTAGAGCGAGTCTCTAATTGGATAATATAGTTGAACGTTAAAAGAGGTGGGAATGTTAGAGGACGTTATCCAATCAGAGACTCGCTCTACTATTCGGTGCGGGTCTGTAGTCTGAGATTTGTTTACTTCCGGGCATATGTCCTGACTTCGTCCGAGAATGGACGGCAAAATTATTGAAAGCTTTAAATGGGAATAAAATTATCAGGTTTGTGATACGCAAGGTACTTTACAGAGGTAAACTGAGTATAAATTGTGCAGTTTATTCAACGGTCAAAGCGATGGAAGCGTTTGTCAGAACAAAACCGAGCCGAGCCAAGCCGGGCTGCCATTTTGTTTCGATTTACTGACACACCTTTCTTATATCTTATATATATATAGGTCATGCTTATAAATATATCAGAACCGGGCCCCTATGGTTTCGATAGGATAGTGTAAGCTATGAAATGATAGTGGCTTTTGCTAGAATTCTCCAGAACTGTATAACAGGTATATAAGGGATGGCTGTTGAGATGTACCTTGGGGGACTACTTTGGATTTACCCTCATGTGTTTGCTAAGATCGACATTTCGAGAGGCCTCGTCTACATTGAACTTTCAACAGCTCTCAACAATCGTCAATCAGTGCATCTGTTTTTACTGGGAATATCAATACTTTGGTGAGTTGATATTTTAGATTTGTGATCCAATTGTATTGTGTTAGAAATCTGTATTGTCATTCATTGTAACCTATTCAATATACCATTATACAATTATAGACTGGTGATGAGGTCAATACCTGTTTTTATGGACCCGCAAAAAGCAATATTGACCTCGGATGATGGACTCGCGAAAAGCAATATTGACCGAGGACGAAGTCCGGGGTCAATATTGCTTTTTGAGGGTCCATAAAAACAGGTATTGACCGAATTCGCCAGTCTATAATTGTTTTATTATGTAATTACCGGAAAAAAGCTTCTAAAATCCAAAACATGTCCATTTAGTCAAGAAAAGTAATTTTATTTTCACTACAAACCAATAATGTTATGTCAACATTACAGTGACATGTAAACAATAGAATGACGTCATAACTTGACGTGAATGACGTCATAGCTTGACCTCATAGTAACTCAAGTCAATATGACTTTTGGTCGGACCTGGGTTGGAGTCAATATGCTTTTCTGTCAACGGTCACGTGACTGCCTCTGAGCAATCAGGTAGCCGGAAAAATATGCTTGCATAATAATGAATGTTATTGACTTGTCTGTGTTCTATTTTGCTAGTTTAAAGGGGACTCACAAGCTTTTTTCAAACTGTAATTTCTAAATCGTAACAGTATTTTTTGTCTTTGAGAAATATAGTGAGACCCCGGATATCCGGACACATTCGTTTTTGAGTAAATCGTCCGGATAACTGAATATCCGGATATCTGGATTTCTGTCATCCAGGCTTAGGTGTTGAAACGGTAGCGAGCATACACTTCTAGTTTAAAATCACTTCCAAAATAGCATGGTCGTTTTGATTTGCCAATTACAATTCACTCTGTGTCAGATAGGCCTACTAATCAAAACCAATACCCTGCTGAACTGTCATTAGTCCGGATTAGCAGACCTTGTCTCGTGTCAAGTCACGTGGGACGCTCGCGCTTCACTTCAGACAGTCAGCGGAAGATCAAAGCTTCGTGTGGATAAGTGAGTCAATTTTGTGTTGATTCAGCCGGTTGGTTTGTAAAATTTACCGTCTGAGAACGGTACTGCATATCTGTTATATACAGTCACTTTTATAATGTAAGAGGTTTTTTTTCCATGAAAATAGACCGGAAATCGAGGTTTCCGGATATTTGGGGTCCGGGAGTCCGGGGTCACACTGTACTAAAATGTGACTGAGGGAATGATGATGGATGTCAAGAAACTACTGAGTTAGTTTCTTTTACATAACACGCACACAGGTACAGTAAACAGCATTTATTCTTGGACAGAAAATGGTATACTCATTCACTGCATACCTCAAACCTGCCCTTGTTGTGGTCCATGACGAACTTGCTCCCACACAGAAACTGCCACGCTCGGGGTCTCACAGATGCTGGTATGCCCTTCCTACATCGATCCTTAACCTGCAGTAGAAACCAGGATTGTAAGAATGGTGCATGATGCCCTGGATTCTGGAAGGACACATGAGTATTCATCCAATTCAACAATCACATCTCACACACTATATACAGTTAGGAGTCTATTGACAATTCTCCATTGTGTGATATAGTCATGGCAAGCAAGTTGAAATTAGGTACATCACCATTGTATCAAGTTATCATTCTCATTCTCACTTCATGAAAGTTTGTTTGAAAACAAAATACCAGACAATACCAAAAAGAATTAAATTATATAAATACAACATAAGTGTAAAGAAGTGTGACTGTTGAACCAAAACACCAAACATTATTTGGAAATATTGTAAATAATCAAAGAAATGTTCTGTATGTTTTGAAAATATGAAACATCAATATATCTTTCATGCATGACCAAAGAATTGAGGAGGAAATCTCTAACTCTGAACAGCTTAGAAGATTGTCTTCATTTCACGGCAAATGATGTGGACTCAATCATCAGTTTCACAAGCCCTGAATCTGGAGGTTGTCCATGTGGGCTCCCACTATTGATTCAGAAGAGTCTGTGACCAGATCACGTAGTGGACAGTGGACAAGAGTAGATCTGGATTTAAGGCATGTGGTAAAGGAATTTGAGTGTCCAAAGATCTCAAAACAGGATATAGGACAACAGAGGACACAGCATCACTTACGCCACTCTCTATAGACTGCGTGACCTTATTTTCAAAGTCACCATGACACTTTGACCACTTTTCTAACTCTTGTACATTAGGGGATTACACAGACACCAGTCTATTTGGGTGACCTTGACCTTATCTTCAAGGTCACCACAACACTTTGATCACTTTTCTAACTCTTGTTAACGCGATATCCCATGGACTGTTGTACCCAGTGTCTTCAAATTTGGTGACAGCCTACATTTAGAAGATAAAGCTACTCAGTTTTCAATTTTGCAGTCCTTTATTGTTGATTTAAGACCGCTAAATGATAACGCGTTCGGTTTTTAAATTACATTTAGCGGTCTTAAATCAACGATAAAGGACTGCAAAATTGAAAACAGAGTAGCTTTATCTTCATTCTATAACGACTGACTGATGGCGTTTTAAAACCGAACTGTTTGGTACAATGCGCAAGAACACAAAGGCGCGTAGAAAACCAAAGGGGCCTTTTTCCTGGAAATCGCTTGGAATCGTCCCGATGAGGGACAGGTTGTGTAATGAACAAAATAAGACTTTTTCAACAACATAAATGCTATATTTCAGGAACCAGTATGCTTGTAGGTTAGGACATGTGGGCCGACGTGTGTTGTCGACGTCAACACACGCAGATCTGGACCCGCTTTGAATATACTGCCGCTTTTGCGCTGCTGACGGATTTTCCAGCTTCGTAGTTTCTTCACTGGGGTTTAGGGTCAAGAAATTCTTCTTCAAACCATTTGCTTTTTACTTCAAAAACACCAAAGACGCTGCCGAGATAGAAATTGCCGATGTCCAACATGTTTGTTTACAAACAATAGGGTCAACGAGTTCATTGTATTCATAAGCAGTGAATCGGTCGCTTTAATTAGCGGTCCTTAAACTGTCATTTAAGTACGGTTCTGATGAGCTCTCAGCCAATCAGAATCGAGTATCACACATTGTCGTGCTAGAATGGGGGATTACGCAGACACCAGTTTATTTGGGTGTTTATTTACTGGTGTCTGCATAATCCCTTACTTAATATAGGCTGTCACCAAATTTGAAGACATTGGATGCAACAGTGCATGAGATATCACGTTAACAAGAGTTCGAAAAGTGGCTAAAGTGTCGTGGTGACGTTGAAAATAAGGTCAAGGTCACCAAAAATCGATTAGTGTCTGCGTAATCCCCCAATGTAGGCTGTCACCAAATTTGAAGACACTGGGTACAACAGTTCATGTGATATCGTTAACAAGAGTTTGAAAAGTGGTCAAAGTGTCGTAATGACCTTGAAATAAGGTCAAGGTCACTCAAATCCACTGGTGTCTGGGTCATCCCCCAATGTATGCTGTCACCAAATTTGAAGACTTTCGGTACAACAGTTCATGAGATGGTGTGTGTGTGTGTGTGTGTGTGTGTGTGTGTGTGTGTGTGTGTGTGTGAGTGAGATATCTCGTTAACAAGAGTTTGAAAAGTGGTCAAAGTGTTGTCGTGACCTTGAAAATAAGGTCAAGGTAAGGTAATCCCCCAATGTAGGCTGTCACCAAATTTGAAGACATTGGGTACAACAGTTCATGAGATTTTCGTTAAGAAGAATCGGGACGTACGCCGCTGAATACATAGTCCCCCCTTCCGCGTTGCGGCAGGAGACAATGAGTTGAGTTTCACTGATGACACCATTGGTGGTGTTCGTAGCAGATAAAAGTACTTGGAACAGAGGAGTCTGTATGGTGGTCATGTGACACAATCCTACGGACTAGAACTAGCAGTATGATCAAATCAGCCTACAGCTCTTCCATGCACAAAATACCTAAATTTTTTAGCTGCACAAGCCAGTTTTCTAGTTGTCAAACAATACAGTCTGAGAACCTGAGTGCAACAGACAGGCACAAGTGCAGATTGACCAAGGCCTGGAGCGCCATGTGTGACAAGATGTCGTACAAATCAGGTTATGCTATCTCCACAACAGATTTGTGACTACAACCTCCACAAGCAGACACCTGTTTAAAGGTTGAGAGTCATCAGAACACGTCAGAAAACATCAGGAATTGACGGTGTATGTCAAGTATCTGAGCTGGACAATAGGACATATCAGGGATTTACAGGACGCGAATTCCTGCATCCTATACGCATAAATATTGACAATGGATGCAAAAACATTTATTAGGGCATCCACAGGGACGCAGAAAAAGTCCAAATACTTTTTGTAAAGATTCCAATCAAGTAACAATAAGTTATCAAAGAGTTTGCTACTAGCTGGGTTATGGTATCATTTGCGATTCAATTACTGTAACAATGTGATGATCATGATACACAAGACAATAACGCTATTGATAATACTCTTTAAGTGTCTGGACCCCAATTTTGTTATCCAGGACCCCTGAAATTTAAGAGTATGAGTCCCAGGGACCCTCAAAAACAGGACTCAAGGTAAATCCCTGACATATTCAGACCCAATTTCATCATTTTCAATATTCATGAGCCTGCAGACATGCCAGATTTAACCAGAGGCAGTGGAACAGGACAGTCTTCAAGTAGTGTTGTGTTTGTGAGTTTGACCAATTTGGAGTGGGTGGCCTTATGTTTCGGGGAGTTATGATGACATGACTTCAATTCTTGGGGCTGAATGCCAATCATACGAGATCATAACATAACACAATGTACTGTTAAGCTGTGATCTGCCCTATTTATGGTTGACATTAATGATCAAAATGTTAACATTCCAGTCTGAGCTGAGGTTGCTCGAAAATCCTTGTCCAAAAAAATCCAGCTTAATTGTACCCAACCCAAAGATTATCAGCGGGAACACCTCTGTTCCTCGAGAGACAAATTCTTGGAGGATGTCTAGACGTTGAATATTCCCTAATCTTCAGTAGAAGACAAACCAAATGGAATTCCCTCAAAGTCGGTGACCCTCTGCCTCTAGTATGGTGTTGTATGCTGCCTCTCGGATTGAAGATGTTTCCATGTCTTAAGGACAGTTATCGCCCATACGGTTTGTTTAACTGGGCCAAGGGTCAGACACAACCATGGCCTCTCGTTTTGGAGACAGGCCCTTTCTTAATACAAAAGGACGTCTTCCACTGGTATCAGAGGCTTGTATGGAGTCAGTCCAGGGACGACACAATTACCAATGCTGTATTATAGTTCTTTATGAATTGTGAAGGTCTTTGTTCAGAGCTCCAGCTAATTAGCTTGTGCTGGTCAGCTATCCAAGCGGAGAAATCAATGATTTCAAAATCTTCATGTGACCCATTTCTTAATCCTGCCATGCAGTGTCCTCCTTGCATATCACAGTAGACACCAAATCCAACAGTCACCCATTTGCACTCTTTGGACACTACTTCCTGTACAACTGTTATTAGATAGAAGATGAAGAAGATATTTCTGTTGAAGGATTCATGGCAGAGATGTAATGGAGATCAGATAATCGCAAGAATTATAACACTGGTTCATTATGGCCATTTTGATCACTGTCTATAGTAATAGACAGTCTTGAGGCTGTTTATGCTTTTGCTCCTTGGACCAGCAGTGCAAGCTGGTGAGACATTGCCTGGACCAACCTACTGATATCCCATAAAACATTCGTTTGAACAGCTTCTTTTTTAAGTCAATTTTAGCTACCATGTGTTATTTTGTTGGCTGGCAAAATGAGGTCTTTATCTGTTTGAATACCAGTACCTAAAATATTCAACCAAGACATTTCAAATTAGGATTGTTGATTAGGATGAAACAAGCAAAGAACCAAATATTATTGACCACTGCTCAGATCAAATACATAAACTTTTAGTTTCATAAAACCAGCTGTTTCAGACCAAAAGCACACATAGAAGATAGATGAATGGTAGACAATGTATACCAAAAGCTAACAAGAGATTTAGACTGCAGTAAGATGACAAAGAAACAATGCAAATGCTAGTCAATAAAACAATTTACACTTGCCTTTTTGAACCTTTTGCTCATCCACTTTTCCCAGTTTTCAAACATGTCAAGCCACTTAATTTCTCTCTTTCGAAGAACCTCGGGAGGTAGCCGGTGAACACTGCAAAGAACATTCACAAGTGAGGGAAAGGGATTGCATGACATTCTACATATAAGGCAAAATATTTCTGTATAATTAATCTTTCTGCTATTGGTAGTGAATCAAAAGCATGCATATGCATTTGTAATAGAACAAAGACTGACCAACTTTGCAAAGGACACTACATATGCTTATGAGTGTAACGATAATGCACTGTTGCTCACCTAAAAATCTAGCAAGCAGTTTGAAGAAATGTAGAAACAGTGCAGTTCAAACTACTTTTCTAGAAATAATTTTTAGACACTTTAACCTGATTTCAGTGCAATATCGATGGTGATGTGAAACATTCATAAAGGTTGATTATATTGTCAACTTGAATCCACCACCAAGGGTGTAGCTCAGGCCTTCAAAACCCTCATTCACATTGTTCATGCTTCTCCATAAAAATCATCACCCAAACCCTAGGCATAAATTATGAATGGTCCCTTAGAATTCCAAGAAAGTGAACCAGGAGAGCATATAGAGCTGGCAGAAAGATTCCAAAACAGATTAAAGTGATTCAAGGAGTATTTGAGAGGGAGGATGGAACAAGGAGATCACGTGTTAACTTTACAACTTGGTTCAAGTTTATCCTAGAATATTTCCAAATACACTCAATGTCCCCTTGATAAATGTTCAATCAACGACTTTCGAACTTCTGATTTGATTCAGGAAAGTGCTATAGACATTCATTTCTCTTTTCTTAGCTGACGCCCCCTGGATACATGCTTCCAGATCCCAGCTGGTGGTGGGTGTAGCAGTGATACATAGGTCTAACATTCAGGTGGAATTTGGAAGAATTCAAAAGCTTTGAGTCAATCAACACTAAATTTATTTCGGGAAATACTTGTGCTCAGGTTGTGAGTTTGTATCGTCAACCGTTGTCAAAGAAAAACCAGCATTCAACCTCTGTATTCCATGATGAGTTGTTTTACTCGTTGAGAAGTACAGTCAGTTGAACACTATCTTGCTTGGTGACGTAAATATTCACTATGCTAATAGTCAGTACTCAGATACAAAGAAGATGAAAAATCTTCTCAAACAACATACATGTAGTTTGTGTCAGTATGTTGACACTTCAAAACATAAAGGAGGCCATAACCTTGAGTGGGTAATATCCTCTCAAAGAGGTTCCTTGGTGTCTTCAGTCAATGTTCAGGATATACAACTGTCCGATCACTTTCTTATTTCTATGACCTGGAGTATGGACAGACCTCAGTGGCGGAGAATCAAATGATCCTGTCGTAATCTGAAGGCTATTGATAACGATGAGTTTCGAAGAGATCCTGTGAACTCTGACTTATTCCACCACCACCCTGATGATGTAAACCAACTTGCTGAGTTGTATTCATCCACATTGTCATCTCTCTTAGATCAACATGCACCATCAACTTCAAAGGAGATCATTGTCAGATCAGGGATTCCTTGGTAAATGGCAGAAGAGTCGCCTTGAAATTCACCGTCAGTTGTATAAGTGTGAGCGGAACACTTGCGCTAGGTCTCTTAAAGGAGCCAAATCTAGATACTGTACTAAAAACTCTCTGACAACGTGAATCCTTCCTTCTATCACAAATTCATGGGATCTCTAGCATCGTCCACAAGTGACAAGGATCTTGCAGGCAATTTTTCAGCCTACTTCTCAAACAAAATAGAAAAACTCTTTTGCTAGCTATCACCAAACAGATTAACCTGAGCTTAGTTAATGGTGTCTTTCCAGAGGTTTTCAAGCAAGCTATGGTAAAGCCATTACTTAAAGACAATTTGGATATCAATACTCTCAAGAATTATAGACCTGTCTCCAAGCTTTCCTTCCTTTCCAAGATCCTTCAACGTGCAGTTGATGTCAGACTCAGATTTCTTAATACATTCTAATCATCCTATCATCCAAGGCACAACACTAAGACCGCCTTACTTTAAATTCTGAATGACCTGAGATGCCATGCGGATTCGGGGAATGTCTTACTTCTCCTCTTGCTCGATCTCTCAGCGGCGTTCGACAGGGTCAACCATCTGAAGCTCCTCAGCTGTCTTCAGGATGATTATAACATTCAAGGGGATGCATTGGCCTGGTTCCATTCCTATCTGAGCACTAGGAGTCAATCAGTTCTTGTCTCTGAAAGCATGTCTGAGTCAACGATCCTTGAGTGTGGTGTACCCCAGGGCTCAGTCCTTGGGCCACTTCTTTTTGTGGTATACACAGACTCCTTGGAAAAGGTCATTGATAACTTTGATATGAATCATCATGCATTTGTACACGACCTCCAATTGATGGATTCCTTCAAACCAGAGATTGTACAAACTGCCAGGTCAAGAGTGAGTGCACGAAGGCAATTAGTTCATGGATGATGACAAATGAGCTGAAGCTCAATGAAGAGAAGACTGAGGCTATGTTGACTGGCACATCGCAACGTCTGAAAAGGATCACCTCTAAGGATATCACAGTAGCCAATTAAGATATCCCACTTTCATCCAGTGTCAAAAACCTAGGTCTTTATCTTGATCCTTGTCTCACCATGGAGCAACATGTGAACCATCTCTGGAGAGTAGGCCAATTCCATTTCCACTCTATTGTAACCACAGATGCAGCTAGAGTTCTCACTCAGTCACTTGTTCTCTCCAGGATTGACTATTGCAATAGCCTTCTCCTTTGAATCTCTAACGATCTTCTCTCCAGACTTCAAAATGCTGCCGCCAGAGTTGTCACTAAAACATCCAAATGGTCTCACATAACCCCAATCCTCCAGAGTCTGCATTTACCGCCAGTTGAAGCCAGAATTCAGCTGAAGATCCTCACTCTTGTCTTCCGCTGCAGACACGGCCTAGCTCCTCCATACCTTTCTGAGATCTTGTCAACTTATAGGCCTCCCCATTCTTTCTGCTCCCAAAATCAAGATCTTCTGTTGGTTCCACAAATTCATCTGGAACACTTTGTTTCATCTTTAGAAGCATTCAAGTCAGGACTCAAAACCTACCTCTTCAAAGAGTCTACAACCTATAACAGCCAAATATTCTGGTCTTTTTCATGAACTGCCAACTATTCTGATGGTCTTTTTGACTACTGAGTTTCCTCATGAACTCTAGTGACTCTTTATATGTAGTGCTTTGAACAAGCTCTGGATGGACTATGGCGCACAAAATATATCCATGTAATATTATTATGGAGCTGGCTTGACCCTGCTAGGTGGATGCCCTTGATGAAGATTACATGGTTTGAATGTTGTAGGAAATAGAGCTTGTGTCTACCAATTTTTTGTGTACTTCATCACACCACTTCAGACTGGTCCCAGGGTTGGCACTGTGTTGAATGTCATAAATTGACAACTGTAAGAAATCAGGGTCAATATGATTAGAGAACTATGCTCATATGCAATGTTGGACACCACTTCCTGAGTCTGGACCATGCTATGGAAGTTGCTCCTCACTCCCAGGATGTGCTGATTTGTTTTCAAAGCAGGGGCATGAAAAGAATCATGGCCTGATGTTATGTCTTTACTTAGGAGGATCTTGCTGAACTTAACTTGGCTAAATGTTTCTGTATCCTTGAAGTCAGACTGATGGTAGAATTCTGGAACTTTTCATTTAACAGCTGGACAAACTTTTACGGACAACTGTGGAACTGTGAAAGGCAGTAACATCATGTGTTTCATCAGTGGTTCTGGGGTGTTCAGCATATCTGCTATGTAAGACTGCTTCACTCGAAGAGCAGAAAGTGTGCCAACATCCATACTTGAGCTGACTAGAGACCCTCCTGCATCTTGAGGACATGGTCAAAAGATCTGTGGACAAAACCCAAACATAAGCAAGGCTCATGCTGACTGCAGTCCAAGGGTGGACGTGCATGGTGACTGATGAGGATGTCAACATGTTTGATACTGGCAGTAAACCAGTTGATGGAGGTAGTGATCCACTGTATTTTATATCTATCTGTTGACAGGGTCAAGATCCTTCAACCCTCGACTAGATTCTTAGTAACTGGGCTCCAAGGTCATTTATCATCTACTTGTTCATCACCAAGTGATTTTTTTTTAAATTACTAGCCACGAAAATATTTTAATACCGGGTAGCCAAAGGTTTTCCAAGTCAATTTGTCAAAAAATTGTATGTGCTTTTAAAATGTGTTGATAATAGACATTTCATTTTTCAGAATCAGCAGTTGAATTTGGTGTGAAAAGAACCTAATAAAAGAAACCTTTTGGCATTTTGTGTTTTTTTGTGTGCATCAAGCAGGAACTGGATAGTAAGTGTTATTATCTAATCACAACTCAAAATTGGTTAAATATTTGCAAATTAACTCCTTGTTTAATTAAAGTCACTAAGAAACAAACAAAACAACTTCAGTAATGTTTATTAAATCTTCAAAGATGACCAGATTCAGGAAATTCTCAGATGACCAGATTCAGGAAGTTACTCATCCCATTTACTCATGACTGGACACCTTTCAAGCACTCTCAATGTAAACAAACAACTGATAATGAAAATGATGTTGAGAGAATAATCACTTTCTTTAAACAGAATACTTCAAGATTGTTTTAAGAGCTTCAGTTTAACATTGTCTAACTCACTCAGCTCATATAGAAAATTCAAACACTCAATGTAAACAAACAACTCTCAATTAACATGTTAAATTGAAATACACTCTCTGACTGTAACTGCACAAAGTGTATTAGAACAGCATAATTCTCACTCAATGCATGTATTTAATGAAACAATACTTTTCCAACATCATAGACACCTTGCAAACAAACCTGAAAAGTTAAACATCTTTTTAACTTTAAAATTTAGTAAAGTAAAGATTGAACAAACTTTGTCAAAACAGTAATACTATATTGTAACTTTCTTGAACTTCTTTGAGTGGCATACTAGAAGTTGGGAAGTACAATATAAAACAAACTTTATGGATAACAACTTCTTTTTATTCGTGAGTGCGACATTTGGATACAGATTCTTGTACCGTTGTCAAGCATTAATGGAACATGAAGAAG